AGAGAGAAGAAACCTCTGATAGACAGATATGCTGTGATTTTATCCGGTTGAATCGCTGTGGAGAGTGAGGAAAAAGGGTAGAAGAAAGAATCGAAGAACAGTGAGAGAGTGAGGGAGTGAGGGAGTGTGGGGTGGGTGCTCCCTGCGCAGGGCCAGGCAGGCGTAAATGGTTCAACGCGGAGGGGGAAAAGGGGGAAAAAGGGGAAGGGGAGTGTGTGGGGGCAGTGCAGCTTTTGTGAATTAGGGGTTTAGCTGTTCAAATGTAATGACTCTACTGTGCCTTTGTGTGAAGTTGACCCTACATAATTTTTCCTAATTTTTTTTTTGCAAAAATTCACATTATTACTCACAAAAATATTTTATTTTACGTAAATATTACGTGATTCAAGAAATGTCCAAAACTTCGAGAATTTACACAAGCCTAAATTTCCATGCTTCGGGAATTTATATAAATACTTTTCGTCTAAAAAAGAGTGCCACAGTTACTGTTTCAGTCTCTCAAATTTTTTTTGCTTGTTTACTCATTTTAGTTGACTATTGGATAAAATAAAATATATTCTTGTCGCATCTTACTTTGTAGAGCCTTTGATGTACATTTGAATGGTCTAATTTTTATTTTTTATTTCTCTACCAATTTATAATAAAATGATTTTAAAAGAGATAATATTTTGCACGTGTTCAAAGTGTTGCAAACAATTTGGGACGGAGGGAGTACATTTATATATGTGTTCCGAAGGTTGGGCCACCCATGTAAATGCGTGAAAATTCTTCGAGCACTTGTGTAATTTGTTGAATATCGAAGTATTTATGTAAATTTTTACAATTTTTTAAGCAATGATGCGAATTTTTCCTAAATAAAAGTAAGAAAATAGGGATGTTTTATTGTTTTTTTCAAAGCAAACACTAAGAGCATGAGGCAAAGATAAAATGCCACACATTGACGTAAAACATTTCAACCAATGAAAGACAACCCAGACCGCGAGTGGCACGAGAGTGGAGTCGTATGCCCTACAGTGGCAAGTCGTTGTTTTTATTACTCTTTTTAAATTTTTTGCCATATTTGAATTATTTAAGGTTTTTAACCTATTTATTTTATCAGAAAAAATATTTCTATCAACTCAAAACTATTTAACTTATCTTTTTTTCATAAAAATACTTCTATTTTTTATTAAAAAATATCTTTTTTTATGAAAAAAAATTAAACAAAAAAATAAAATGAAAATATTTTTTTGTCGCTTTTTACCCTTCCTTAATTTTTGATTATTTCAAATTATTTTTATTATTTATTTTATCATAAAAAAAGTTATATTTCCTTTAAAAAGTCTCTCTTCCAAAAGAAAAGAAAAAAAAGAGGAACAAGAAGGCTCGGGGATGACACAGTGAGAGAGGAGAAATTCTATCTCCAAGCATGGCGAACATTCAAAGAGGCTAAGGTTGAAGGGCGGCGTGGGAATGCATCTCCACGTCGCTGCTGATGCTCTAAATTTAAATAGATGTAGTGGTAATAAAGTTTCTGGGAGAACAAACCCACTATCCAAAGCTTTTAACGAGAAAATATGAATGTTGAGTTAATGTTATAAAATTCTTACTATTGACATTATGAGTTGGTATTTCATAATGTTATTCGTATTATATTTTGACATTATTTTGTGTAATGAATCCTATTTTAATAAGTAGAATGCTATTGAAAAGTACTCGGTATGTTTTAGTCCAAGATACTCTTCCTTAATTGGTACTCCTAACTTCCCCAAATAAAAATTATAATCCGTCTCTTTTCAATTTTTTTTTCTTTTATAAAAAAGAAAGTAGTAAGTGGCCTGCTACATTTATATGTTTTCTAAAAGGAAAAGGGGCGGTTCTCATGACATTGCCCGGCAATGTCATGGGATGACCAGGGGCCCGGGGGTGCTCCGGTGCCACATTCGTAAAATTGACAGTTCCTACTTCCCAATCCTCCCGATAAACCCCACATCCCGTCCCGCCCCGAACACCCTCACCGCTTTTAATTACACCCATAAGTTGATTTTGACTTTAGATATCATTAAAGAATGCAATTATCTCCTCAACCCTAATATCTTCTTCCCTTCTCCTCAGCCGAATTGGCTTCTCTTCCCTTCTCAGTCTCTACTTTTCCTTCTCTTCCTCTCCCCAAATCCAAAGATTGAAGGCAGTCAACTTTCCCGATCCTAATACGATTCGTACAAGAACCGTATCACAATTTCTAAGCAATTTTGTCTTTCTTTTTTCGAGAAGAAAACACGCGACATACTTTAATTTAAAAATAATAATTCATATTGAAATTAAAAGTAGTCAAAGACTTGTAGTCCAATAACACCAAAGTGTATAATCTAAATGAGAGGTCATAGGCTCAATCCCTCGCTGAGACGGTAATTCTTGGTGTTTTAGTAGGTTGAAAATATGTATGAACATATTTGTAGTGAAATTTGCACTAAATAGAACTAAAAAAATAAGTCATTTAATTTCCCAACGTAGAAATTAAATTTTTTTATTTCCTAAATAGGACTTAATAATGTCTAGTGGAAAAATAATGTCCAGTAATGATAGACATTTACATGAATAATGACTAATTGATAATAACCAAAGGTCCTACATTGGGAAATAAAAACATATGGTCATATATTGGGAAAGTCATTATCTTTTAGTCATATTTAGGTAAATTTCTCTAATTTGTAATAGAGCTATTAATATAAAAATATTAAACGTTTGAGACAACTAAATTTTATTATGAGTCTTCCCTTTAATCTTACTCCGTAATTGAATCTGACATATGAAAGATGAAATTTAAAGTTTGTAAATAAAAATTTAGATACAATATTAATTATAACTAAAATATGAACACTGGAAAATGAAAACTCCCTACGACATTACTTATAAATTAAAATTTGACTTCGAATAATTAAAGTTAGAAGTTACAAGTAATAAAAACATACCCAAAATATGAAATGTGACAAGGAGAAAAAACAAAAAATAAACGGAGTAACCCATAACAAAAATAGTGGAACAAAGAAAATACTTTATTTTAGACTTGTTTCCGTATCTAAAGTTAGTTAAAAAGAAAGTTAAAACTTAGACATTGTTTGAATGGTGACGGATTAAATTTCATTAGGTAGATAAATTTTAAATGGAGGAAAATGGTAATTTTGACAGGCTTTGAATGTCGTTGACTCCATCCAAATTTAAGTTGCAAATTTACTATGTGGTATTTTTCTGTGCTTATAAATTGGTTAAAACTGTTTATAAATTATTTTTAACTTATAAGTCAACAGATGACGTGTTTTCCATGCTTATAAAATGACTTATAAACTGCTTATAAGTTATAAGCCAGAAAAAATTAGCAGATCTTACTTATTTTTAAGCTAATTTTTTGTTTCTCGTTTTGACTATATTACTTACAAAAATATTTCTCTCCTATTATGATTGTCCCCAAATGTCTTATATTATCATTTAAGTCATTTAATCTACACAATTTGTTTTTAAGATTTAAGTAGCTTATAAGTTAAAACTATTTATAAACAATAAGTCAATAAGCACCCACTATATACAAGGTCAAACTTCATTCACTTCTTTTACTCATTTTGTTAGTTATTTGATAAAATAATATAGTCATATGATCACTTGTTTCTTAAAACTTCTGACATATTTTTCAAATATGTACTTCGTAATTTTAATTTTTTTAATCCACCACAATTCTCGAATAAATTGAATTAAAAATAATTTCAATTAAATATTATAAATTTAAAAAGGCAACTTAATTTGGAGCCGAAGGAGAAGTAAATATGAATTAAAATAATCATATTTTAATCACATAAAGACTGAATAAATTTAAATCGCAATAATGTTAATAAGATTAGCCTAAAGGCTAAAACAAGGGATAAAATATGCACAAAAACGAGGCTTAACACTGTGTTGCTTTGTTAATTCTTAATACCATCTACCAATTACATTGATTCACGAATAAATAATTAAACATGTTATATTCAAAATAAAAAAGAGTAAAAGATTGTGTGGAACAGAACAAAAAATAATAAGACAAAAAAAGGTATTAAAAAAAAGACAAAAATAGTGAGAGTAAAAATTTTAAAAAACCTTGTCAGCATATGATGCCCTGATCTAATGACAAATACCTCTCAAAGGCTCAAACACTCAATCCCAAAAAAACTTCAATTTACGAATTAATAAAAAAAATTCCAGATAAATATTTGTTTAATTGATAATCAAAATTCATACAGTTTGAGTACGAAAAGTTAAACAAAACAATCAAACCGAGCAAAGAAAGTAATTGATACTCCCTCCGTCCTATAATGATCTTCCCGGTTCGCAAAATGAAGAAAAATCCCAAGTTTTTTCAATCTATTTTATTTAAATATTGGTATAGAAATAAAAAATAAAACATACATATTTAAAAACTATACCAAAAGTTCAACAAAACAAGTGGTGACAAGAATATTTTATTTTATCATATAGGCCATGAAAAAACACAAATAAATATAAATTCCCGTGAAGTTGGAATAGTGCTCTGGGAAGATCATTATAGGACGGAGGGAGTATAAAACAAAAAACTAAAATTCATGAAAAACTACATCAAAAATTCTATTCAGGATACAAAACAAGAGAACGAGCATAATAGCCACATTTGAAATGAGGCTTAAGGCAACGCTGGGGACCATCATTTTTGTAAACAGTGCACCAAAGGTGCTCCAAAAAATGCAGTGACACGGCTAGTGACATCGTTAATGGAATAATACCATTTTATCAAAATAAATTACAAAAAGAGGCAAATAAAGTTTGACAATATGAATAATAAGTAGAAAGACTTTAATAAGGAGTAGAATAGAGGGAGTATGGCCCAAGAGCTAGGACACCAAGTAATAGTAATATATCAAACAATTATATTTTAAAGTTTCTTTTTCAACTTCGGGCTTGTATAAGGAGATTTATACTACTGTAGTAATAAAATAACCTAATCAAACAAGTCTTAAGGTAATTTACAAAGCTCTGTGAAAAGAAACAAAATGCAGACAAAAAAAAGATGGGTTCTAGAAACACTCAATAAACTTTATGCATATTTCTCCTATTCCATATACCTTTCTAATTAGCCTGGGATTCCTTCCCTATATCATCATCATGTACACTATTGATTCAGTAGAGATTCAAATATAAATAAACCTATCAAGAATCATCATCACCGAATCCCCGTTTCGTCCCCTCATCCTCAACTATCCTTCTGCAAGCTATAGGTCTATGCCAAATGCTGCACCGGAAAATCTGTCATTAGTTTCAGATGGGATTTACCATGTCTGCTTCTCATACTTGACAGCAAGTGTTGATGTCGTCTTCTTTGTCGAACAATGGCACAACATATTTGCAGCCAAATGTTTGGTGATTCTCAATTGTCAGCATAGAGCAAGTGTTGATGTCATCTTCTTTGTCGAACAATAGGAAACATATTTGCAGCCAAACGTTTGGTGATTCTCAATTGTTAGCATAATGAATCTCCAGTTTCTTAAAAAATTCATGTCAGCACTGTTGCCTCTCCGGCCGTGGCAGAAAGCTCGACTAAATACTTCAGGGGAGCAAGTCATATGAATGTTAGGAATGAACAGAAAACCTGTTCAGCATATATTGGTGTCTATCCAAGGAAGAATGGGGGTGTAAAGATCTGTAATGCGATTTGAAACTTCTATGGAATTGGGACTAAGTATGTATCTTGGAGGCATCCCAGAAATAAGCTTTGTTGGAAGGCCTAAAACCACACATATCTCATTCAACAGCAAGTGGAGAGGGGCACACAAATAAGCTTGTAGGGATGCAGTTATACTGTTAACCCCAACTCGTCGTTTGGGCTATCAGAATAAATGGGTAGGTTTAAAATATCGCTTATCTCAGCCAACAGCATATCTGACGTGATCTCATCGTTCCTTCGTTGTTTTACCTGGTGAAAAACCAAGGGAATTTGTAACGATCAATGAAAGGGAATGAACGTTACCCTCAGAAAATACAGACCTTCTCATAGGTGTTGACACTGTCTGGAGTTGTCCTTTCTGTCCTTGCTCGAACAAAAATCCAAATTCCTCTCGTGTGATCCCAGGAGCACTCTAAGATCTTACCAGAATATGAAGAGAAATCCGATGCATCTGCAAAGTATAAACATAAGTTAGCCGAATGGGAAATCCATCACCCGCGGGTACAAGAGCCCTCAGTTTGGAGAGATCTAAATGACCGAGTGATTTCCACACAGCCCAAAACTGCTTAACAGTACACTTTTGAAGAATGATGATATCTTTTCCCCCTCATTTGGGGGAAGTGTGTGTCGTGGATTTGTCAAGGGCGCCTCTGACCTCCAAATTCCACTCGGCATCCATCCATTAGCTTCCTCCTTCCAAAGTTTTGCAGATAGATTAAATGATCATTATTGACACCCACCTGTTAAAAGAATACACAATTAGTTCCCAGTTGGCGGGAAACAGATGGGGTTCTCAAAAACTACAAGAGGGAGACTGATGAGAGTTAGGATTACATCAAAGAGAAAATCCACTGTATATCTTCTTGGAGATTTCCATTTTAAAAGTCCTTCATGTGCCCAAGGTTTATAAGCACCATTCCAGGCCTGTGATTGAAAAGCATGAGTCAATATAATGCAAAAATGCTGGAAATAGTTAAACAGAGATAAAAGAACACTGCAAGACAATAATAATCATCAATTACTTTAAAAAGAAGACCATCAGTTGCATATGAATGTAATGGCAAGAACTCTTTGACAAGCTTAGGAGCAGCAGAAATGCCATAAAACTCTTTCATCCTTACCTGAAATGGAAAGGAGTGTCATCCTTACAAAAAATAAAAAACACTATAATATTGAAGCAGATAAATTATTATATTCAATTATATGTACTTCAAATGGCTCCTGGTCATATTGGTAGTACACATTATCTCCCTTGCACAATAAATCGTGTTCATAGTTTCTGGGTTTGATCACCTCTTCCTCAATAAGCGCTAACCTTCTATGGAGTGGTAGCTGCCAAAGTGCTTAATAATCAATATTTTATCCAAGAGATAAAAGTGAAGCATAAAATGCTTAATCCTCTACTACTCGACACTTCCACAACCCACAACACTAACAAAGGAAAGAATCAAGAGGATGCATAGGGTGTAGTTTAAAATTCTTTATTACATAAAAGACTGCTTATTAAATTAGGAGTTATTCTTCATTTTATTTACTCAATTAAGTTCATTCGATGACAATGATATTGTTACTAGTGAATGATGCATTCTTATTATGGTATGATAGGCTGTGAAACTTGAAATGCTATGATATGCTATGATGTATTTTTGTTATGCTATTTAAAACGATTTCAATAGGCAATGAAATTTGAAGTCTTGATGTTTTTTTCTTTCCCATCGACTTTCTAAAAAAACTAGCACTTCAGTTCCCACATCACTGTGAAACAATGCCATGCTGCTTTGGTGCACATTTTAATTTCAAAAACTTTCCGCCTAATCCATTACATATATTTTCTAGAGAGTAGAGACCCGCCTTAAAAATGAAACCACTGTTATTCTTGAAAGATTAAATTCAATTAGAATTCCCTATCTATTAAGAAATACCCACATCTCTCAAGGTGATTACCTTCAAATCGCCTGGAACGGGAGCGATGGTATTTCCAGGAGCGCCGCCCTGGGCTAACATGCGGCCAGCCTCCTGTGACAAAAGGTGGTTGGCCTCAGTTCTTGTCCATTTGGGACTTAGACTATGGAAGTCATGGTTTGGATTGCTTTGGTCCTGGTTCAGCATGTTGGGCAGGGTCTGTTATTTGATTTAGTCATACTCCGTATTAAATTTATGGGACTGCATCACTGCATGCCAAAGAGAAGTCTTACTCGTCTATAGAAATTCCCCCCGGCATGTGCAGAAGGGACACATTCACATTTACATTCAATTTCACTTTTGATTCTCTCTCTCTCTCTCTCTCTCTCTCTCTCTAGAAATCCTCTCTCTAGACCCGTATCACACTGATCCACCAATACTGTTAGACCAGGAGTTACCAATTTGCCACAACTTTCCTCACGTTACAAAGTATGCTTTGCAAATCTAGTTCGTGATGAGGATTGGAGTTGCTCTAAATTGGCAAATGCAGATGTCAGGAAAAAAGTACTACAAAACAAAGATTTTCTTTTAGGTTCTTGGATTTTGACATTTTGAGAATTATTTATTTTAGTTGGGCATAATGTTCTCGCTGAAGAAGAGCCAAGATCGACTTTGCTTCCATTGATGGATAAAAACAATTGCATAATCGGAGAAAAAGGGCTACTAGGATAATTAATCAAGCTCATGTCCCAACCCAACTCCTGCCTTGGACAGCTAAAGCCACGCGCGTCTTTCCAGGAGAAGAAGCTTAAAAAAAGCTCAAGGCATTGTACGATGTGGAACTCACCCAGCCAGATCGGGATGATTGACACATCCACCCTTTGCCTCTCCGCATCGGATTGGTAAGGCACTTGCCTTTCATAGCTATGAGAGACACTACGGATCGATGTTGGAAATTACATGGTCAACTTCAAAACTATAATAATACTTCATCCATTTCAAAAACATTTTTCCTGAAAATGGCACTATACTAAAACTCCCGCCATGTAACTATTTTATTGGGTTCAGTAAAAGAGGTATAAAAGGCAAATAAATACTATGTAAAGTTGTTGAGAGTAAGATTGTATAGTATTTTAATTAAAAATAGGTTTAAAAATATGCGCCAAAAAAGGAAATGAGAAGATGATTTTGGGACATCCTAAAGTGTCAAGTGGGAAGGTGGTTTTGAAATGGAGGGAGTACAAATCATACCCCTTGTAGAAAGTCCAAATTTTAGCTTTATTCTAGACATCAATCATCAATGTGGTGTCACCATATTGGGTGAATGTATTCCTTACTGAATGTCAATAAGACAATGTCACAAGCATCTACCCAAACATACAGCTAGGAGAAGCATAAAAAGCTGGTTAGCAAACATGGCTATAGCCTTATTGTGATGGGAAAATCTTCTATTGCACTTCCACATGTTCAAACAAGCTTCAAGCTAGAATATATCAATTTGATATTTTGATTATGCCAAAATTTTGGAAATGAAAGGAGAGGATAAATTGTAGTAACACCAATAAATAGTTATAGGCCTAAATGTGATCACATTAAAGACATGGGCTAAACACAGCGATGTGCGAATGGGCCTAAATGCCGTCAAGTTAAAAGTCGGGCAAATGCAGCAAAGTGTTTTCATGGGATTAGAAATGGAATATCCTCTCAGCAAAAGACGAGTACTACCAATGCATATTTGCAAGCATGCTTCTAGACCAATTCTTCCATTCATCTAAGAGAAATATAATAATATATGGGAAGTGATATACCTTTGCGACAGATACTTCATTTATTGCTATGATATCATAGATGAGGTATCTTATGCTTTTCTGTGTTTCTTGTTCATCGTCACATACAATTTCACCATCTAGCAATGTGTAATGATGAGTGACTTCAGATTTACCCTACAAGGCATAAGATGCATGTCATACTTCAATAAATATACAATAACGACAACATTACCTTAGTGGCTAGTGCCTCAAAGGCTCCCACCCCATTGCAGGGTAAGGAGGTGGATGTATGCACCCTATGTTTAAAACATAGAGCAGCGCCGAAAGTTGCATTGACTAACAACTACTTCACTAAATATAGAATAAGAAAGTCTTACACCCTGTCATCAGCTATCAGACTATCAGAGTATGGGCTTTTTACCTCAAAAATATCTTTGCAAGGAAAACGTAACTGGATCTTCCGAAAATGAAACGTTCTATCAATTAAATAACAAACATCATGAGTTATTAACATCATATATCTTGTCCCGTAAGCTTTCCATGTAATATGGTAACATTGTTGCCTTAGGAGGTGCAAGTTGTTCCTGCAAAATGAAAAAAATCATGGTCGAAAAGAATTATTGGATCACACTGATAGGCTATAATTGAGCTGTCTTACTGCTTTCCAGAAAAAAATGTTTTAACTTCAGGTTAACCAGATCAATGGGGCATCATCAGTTGTATTTTTATTACAAGCTATACGGATTTAGATTCACACCTAAATATTTCTAAAGATCGTCAGCTCTTTGCTTTAACATATTTTCATAATATCCATAAGAAACATGTGTTGTTAGCTAATTAATTTTTCCAACATCATTGGCTCAATAAATGCGATCCATATACAAAGAACTGATATATCATGAATTGCAGTTCAAATAGAGAGTACGAAAATATTAGCGTGGAAACCAAATATGAAAACGTGCAATACTCTTTAGGCAGTACAACACAAAAAATCTCCTTGTTTAATACTCCCTCCATCCCAAAACGAAGCAAAATTTCAAGTTTTTTTATTCCTTTATTTAAAGATTGGTCTAGAAATTAAAAATAAAACCTACATATCTAAAAACTACGTCAAAAGTTCTACAGAACAAGAGGTGACAAGAATATCTTATTTTATCAAATAATCAATCAAAACGCATAAATAAACAAACATTTCTTACTTTTAAATAGTGAAGAGAGTAATTCTTTTAGGAACGGAGGGAGTATAATTAATACATAAACATAGGCCTCTTTAAGCAATACCATAAAAAAAGGTGTCCTTTTTTATGACCTGTTAGGGACGGAGGGAGTATAATCAACACATAATCTTACTTTTCTTAATTTTGTGCCACTCCCCCATGTCCCAAAAATAGTGGGAGAGAGGGAGTAGTAATATCAATATCAAATATTAATAAACAGTAACTATGATTGTAATAATATCACTAAGAAATATTAATCATTATAAAATAAATAGTAATAATGATGATAATAATAATACTGCACAAGAAGGTATTGAACGAAGTGCAATTGAACGACCCTAAAAGCATTTCACCATTCCAATGTCACACGTCAACTTTTCTCTCATGTGATCCATCTTACCCCAAGAGTATGCAGGAAAAGAATAAATAACCATTGTATTCAAATATTTAATGTATCAGCACAAGCATAGCCACTTTTGTATCTTTTGGATTGTGGTCATTGTCATTCTCGTTCATTATGGTGTGAGTTTTTTTGTCAAATAGAAAATGCAAGACGATTTAGTAAACGGTATCAAGACTTACAAATAATTGCTTCCTAGTTCAAAAAATAGAGCAAAATCATAAGTGCATTCCAAGAGTAAATTTAGAAGTGCTTTCTGTTCAATGCATTATTGCATTAAATAACTCATTAAAAATAATTTACTACTCATCAATATTTACCTGGTTAGAGGAATAGAAAGTGACCCAGGAAACTCCGTGTTTTGCCAAACCTGAGGATATAGCTTTGAATGTTGATTATATTCTTTGAGGATCAATATAAATATACCTAATTCATTAAGTGCCAAAACAAGTACTGAACAATTGAGTTCCAAAACAAGTACTGAACTGTGGAGGGGAAAAAAATATTGACCATGCAAAGCTATTAAAATGGTGATCAATGCTGATAAGCCTGTAAATTAATATGTTTTACATTTCAGAAAGTGACCAAGAAGTATTTGGATAAAACATTTGCATCAGTTTCCATATCAAAAGAATGCACTTTCTTACGTTTGCATCAGTTCCCAAATCAAAAGAATATACTTTTCTTAGTTTCAATAGACAAAAACGGAAGTAAAAATAAATTAATGCATACCTGTGCAAGCAAGTCAAGAGCAGAATTGCAGAAATTCCTCATTTTATCAAGGTCTGAAAATGGAATACGATCTCGCAGAACAGCATCATTGAATATAGATACAGCCCTTGTAGCAGTACACTGCAGCAATTAGCAGCAAGAGTGAAAATTATATTATACAAGTAGTAAGCAAAAAAATCATTGTGTTTTAAAACCCAATACATGATTTTCTGACTTACAGACAAACATTTAAAAAGTCATTCCATCATATACAGTCCCTAACCAGAAGTCGACATGTGGCCATTAGGTGTAACATAACACACAAGCAATGAATTTTTATTCCATTGAGAGCTATAAAAACGAAGAATCTCAAAATAGATCAAAACAATACTTTGCCAAATTATTCCATGGATGCCAAGATGGTGATATGAGAAACAATCCTATTCTGATATGCATGATCAGCCAATAGATCCATTTCTTTTTAAACAAGCATATAAAATGGGGCAAATGGATCTATTGACTGTATCACATATTTCTCTCGAGAGGGGTTTGTAAATTACAGAAATATGTGATACAGTAGAAAGCCCATTTTTTCCTTTAAAAGTTTGTTATGAGCCTAAACAGACGACTACTCCATCTAATGTGATACAGTAGAAAGCCCATTTTTTTCCTTTAAAAGTGTATTATGAGCCTAAACAGACGAGTACTCCATCTAATGTCTTTGACGCCTAGTAGAGTCAAGAACTCGTAGGCTTGAATTGATGGGTACCATATATGTGCTTGCCGAAGATGAGCTCGGTTCTCAAACAAATGTGCGAGAATCAATCAAAACATCATTGCACTAATAAAAGCATAGTCTCTTTGATAATCTCACTTCTTCATATAATCTTTCTATAAAAAGTCTCATCCAAGAAAAAACATGTATTTCAAAGAAAACAGAATAAAAAAAACTGCATATTAAGAAAGACTTGCTTCCTCTCTAACTTATTAGTTATAAGTTATAACTAAATCCTTTCTCTCTTAATTACACTTTAGAGAAATGTTTTCCTTTCTAATAACTGTCTTGTTGGGTTTAGTAAGAGAGAATCACATGATATATTTCAACCATTACTATTCTCCGTCAATAAGTGCTACGGAGCACATAGTAATTTATTACATTAATAAGGATATCCAAATCATGCGATACTACTTTTATCATGATTTCAGAAAAACATTACTGATGTCTAATGTGTGTGTGAAGACCGAAAATAACACTTAAAAAGGAACATGTGGGTAAGAAATGTGGTTAAGTTGTGAAAATATTGTGCATCTTTGAAGTGATTCTTTTAAGTAATTCCATTAACCTTTTTAGTAAGATGGTTGCATATCCCATGACAATTGAACCACATCTCAATTGTGGTTGCCTAAAATAAATGTGGGAACTACCAATGAGTCCAATACAATTCTAACAAAAGAGGTGTACGATGGAGGAAAAATAGAAGGGCAAGTACGTCGCTTAAAATGCCCTCTTTAAATAACAGTCTCTGATCGATGTTTCTCTTCGGAGAAGGTATGTTAAATAGTACCATAAGGGAAAATTCGGAGAAGAATAATTCATACGCAAAAGATTTCATTAATGGACAATAAAAGGAACAAATAATAGTCAAAGTAAATAAATTAATAAGAACAGATGGACTAGTCAATTACAAAACTGCTGCGTATTGAATTATCATCCATCAAACACTATTTTGGATCAGTCCAATGCTGGTAAGGTACGCACCTCGAGATGCATATAGTATGCTTTCATCTTCGTGTTCCAATGTGAATTCTTCTTCCATGTTAGCAAAAGAGACAATCAGTGTGAATTCTTCTTCCATGTAAGCAGATGCATGTACCCACAGTTAAGTGGTGCCCAAACAGTAACTGCGGTCATCAAGTAAATCTCAGAGCATGCTTGGTTTTTTTTCATCGGCAGATACCAACGATTATGCAGTCAAACGACACACGCATGTAACAGCGTCTGTGGTTTGACCGTAGGTACTGACGGACACCCTTTAATTTGCAGGTACATGCGTGTGTCGTTTGACTGTAAACACGGTTGTTAAAGCACTCAAATGAAATCAATGAATGCATGTGTTAGGGATGAACCGGGGGTCTTATCAAGTTGTTATTTTTGGAGATGGAATTGTGGAATAATGAAGGGGAAATGGGCGGGATGAAAATATGGGAATGTGAAGTTCTTTTTGGGTTTTGATATTATGAAGAAGAGTGGAAAATCAGGGATGAAAGATGGGTTTAGAAAGGATGGGATAAATTCCAAATAAGGTATAAGAGACACTCTTATCTTAATTTGGAGCCAAATTAATACTAAAGGATAAGCTCACCTCTAGATTAACTTGGGGTTGAACTCTAGTATTTAATCAAGATATTACACACTCAATCAAATATCTAGAACCTAAAACTCACACTTAAGATAACCACTCTTAAGATATAGAATTAGGAATTTGGCTAAAATAGCATCACACTATTCTAAGAATACTCAAAGAGTAAAAGGGGTTTTAATATTCAAAATATATGTTTACAATGGCCATAGGGCATGATTATATATGCAGGGGGAGGGGAAAGAAATACACAATACATTGAATGTAGACATAAGGAAACTTCCTAGCAACATCCTCTCTCAAAGCCTTGAAATACCAGCCATGTTTTAGGTCCTTTTATTGGAATAAAATCAGGGATGGTGTGGTTGTAGGGTCTCCAGTGAAAGGCAAACCAAGGGGAATGGATAGCATTCTTTTGGGCTGATTTGGGGGGATGTGTTCAGCCAACTAGGGGGACAAAAGGAAAGGATAATGTGTGGTACTTTGGCTGCATATATGAGAATTTATTTGGTGGTTAAAGGGTTAAGAAAGTACCATGTTTCGCCTGGACTTTTATGGTTGTTTAGTGGGTTGTACTAGGGAACATAGTAGGGACCATGTTGGGTGAATGTTGGAAGATGAATGGGGCTGTTTTGGTTTTCTATTGTGACCAGGGATTCAAATAGATAAAAGAGACTTTATTTTGGATATCAAAAGGAAATAAAATACTTTTGGATGTTTAGGGTTGGGTTGGACGGAGTGGGGGTTGGCTAGCGGAACCCTTAGGTAAAAACGAAAGTTATTTTGGCCTTTCGGGCTAAAGGACTTTGAATTCTCACTAAAATGGATCATAATGTTTGAACCTAAGTCCTTTGGTTTCCATGAGGGTGTGGGATATGGGGGAGGGTATGATAGGGTCGGGCCAGATATATCAGCATGTGGGAATGATCTTTTCCAAAATGATCACAACTTACCGTGTTAGAGTACTGCATAATCATTGGTATCCGCCGATACAAAAAAACCAAGCATACTCTGAGATTTACTTGAACACCGTAGTTACTATTTGGGCACCACTTAACTGTGGGTAAATGCATCTGCTTACATGGAAGAAGACACTGGAACACGAAGATGAAAGCATACTATATGCATCTCGAGGTGCGTACCTTACCAACATTGGACTGATCCAAATTAGTGTTTAATGGATGATAATTCAATACTCAGCAGTTTTGTAATTGACTAGTCCATCTGTTCCTATTAATCTATTTACTTTGACTACTATTTGTTCCTTTTATTGTCCACTAATGAAATCTTTTGCATATGAATTATTCTTCTCCGAATTTTCCCTTATGGTACTATTTAACTTACCTTCTCCGAACTGTTATTTAAAGAGGGCATTTTAAGCGACGTACTTGCCCTTCTCTTTTTCCTCCATCGTACACCTCTTGTTTGAATTGTATTGGATAAACTCATTGGTAGCATGGTTTTAAAAGGCGTTCGAGGCGGACCGCCTCGAGGCGGTAAGGCGGTGAGGCGGGCCTTTTAAGGCTCAGAGGCGTAAGCCTCGGTAAGGGTATGTGAGGCGTACGCCTTGCCAAGCCGAGGCGGTTGGGGCGGTGAGGCGAAACTGAGGCGGTAGCCTTGCTTCAAATTAAAATTTCAGCACCTATGGGTTAAATGATGCTCCGTACAAAGCAATTGGGCCTTAAAAAAAATCATGGGCATTAGATGTTTGTTAAAAACTTCTTACACTTGATAAATTAGGATTTTTTTTACTTGTACTTCTGCCTCTCCATCTTCAACCTAGCATAGTGCAGCTTCTCTCGCACAATACTTCAGCCTCTCCATCTTCTTCAACTTTAGCACACCCCATCTACGACGCCCCTTTTGTTCTTTCAGTCTCTCCATTTTCATAAGATAATTGCTTCATATTCTTTTTTATAGACAAAAATTGCTTCATATTCTATTTACTTCACCTTCAATTTTTTTAAGTTTTTATTCCAACTTTAATTTTCTGTCCCTTTTCCCAGCACTACACTCCCTCTTCATCCATGCGATTTGTATGAAGGTCGCTTAGCTACAAATTTCATTGTATTATATAGTAGAAATAAACTTGTCTAATTTTGGTTATGAAGTAAAAATCATGAAACTTTATTCATTTTATCATGTTTGAAGGCAGATTTGAGGCGTTTTTTGACTTTGTGTTTTATGTTATTGTTTAAATTTTTTGGAGTAATTCTCCTTATTTTTTTGTATTTTAAAAACTGAGATTGGGTATTACTTTTTGGAAAAATCAGGAATTGAAGCCTTTAGATTTCATCATCATGATTATGGATTATGTATTTTGTTTTTACCATGGAGTATTCATTTTAGCTTTGTTTTTTTCAAACAGAACTGAGGCTTACGCCTCGTTCCGCCTCGAGGCTTACGCCTCAAGGCATTTTTGTCCACCGCCTCGAGGCTCGTTTTCGCCTTTCAAAACCTTGATTGGTAGTTCCCACATTTATTTTAGGCAACCACAATTGAGATGTGGTTCAAATGTCATGGGATATGCAACCATCTCACTAAAAAGGTTAATGGCATTACTTAAAAGAATCACTTCAAAGATGCACAATATTTTCACAACTTAACCACATTTCTTACCCACCTGTTCCTTTTTAAGTGTTATTTTCGGTCTTCACACACACATTAGACATCAGTAATGTTTTTCTGAAATCATGATAAAAGTAGTATCGCATGATTTGGATATCCTTATTAATGTAATAAATTACTATGTGCTCCATAGCACTTATTGACGGAGAATAG